CTGGGTCTGCTTGATGCCCGGCGCGCCCTGAGGCTCCGGGGCCCGTCTCGGCCGTGTCCTTCCCTCCTCTCCCCACCCCCACCCGGCCAGGCGGGCTATCGCCGCGCGGCTCCGCTGCCAGCCGCTGGCGCGGCCCCGCCGGGCCTTCACCGCCCGGGTGCCGGGCACATAATAGGCACTTCTTCCTGTAGGAGGCCGCTGCAAATGCTCGGGAAATGCGCTCCTCTCGTGTCCGCAATGCTCCGGGGTCACTGCCTTGTGCTGCATCTTCCCAGCCTGCCCTCGTCCTGCTGGTGAAGGTTCCTGGGTTACGCCAGTTCATTGCCAATCGCAAGACGTTAGGAATGGGAAATGATCCTAAATAGTTGTAAGGTGCCTGTCACCACCTATTTCCAATCGTGGAGACTATACTTCAGGAATACCACTTGGATCACATGCTTTGTGGGGAGGGATTCAAAAACCTGCTTGTCACTCTTACCCTAGTGCAGTGGTTTCTCAGCCGTGTGAGACTGGAGGCGTCAGTCCCTTTGAAGATGCCAGCTGCTAGTTTTCACTTTTTCTTTTTTGTACTACAAGAAAATACTAGAGCAGTTTTTCTGTTGCAAAGAACTCAGAGCCCCGGTAGCACGTTGGAGTGTTTTATCACTGTACGTTCCTGTGTGAAATGCTAGTTTTCCTTTGTGACACAGTTGCATACCTAAGAGGGGCAAACATTGTGGCACCTCGGCCCCCTTGGAAACCTGTGGAGGGAGGCACCCCGGTGCTGTTGCGTCCTGGCTGAGACCCATTCCTCAGGTGGATGTAAACTTCTGGCTTTGGAGCTGGATCTTTCACGCGCAATCGCGAAGATAAAAACTTAATCAAGGGTTATGACTAATAACGGATTAGATGTGTATCTGTGCAGTCCACGTGAGGTTCTTTCTCCCTACTGTGTGGTCAGGGACATGAGGTGGCTGCTTCTCATACCTTTCCCAAGTATCAGAATGAAAAATGACCAATATTCTCTACCCCAGTTTGCAATGTGAGGAAGATAATAACAATGACAAGAACTAGGTTACGGGTCATCCCAGTTGTTGCTAAAGGGAATTATCAGTGGCATATGCTAGCACTGGAAAAGTATTCACAAAATGGAGCCAGAGACAGCGGTTAATACAGGAGACTTTCTTCCTGAGAGGATAGCCACAAGCCTGGAAGAAATGGTAGAGTAATTCATAATTTAAATATTTCTCATTTTTATTAGCTGAGGAAGGTTCTAAAATGTTTTGGGTACCAGGCTGTTCAGAGGCTGTTATGGGATCTAGTTAGCACTAGAAAAAGTTGTCCAGTGTGCAGTGTAGATGTAGTGTGGAGTGCCTGGTGAAAGTTGACTGTAATTGCAGCTGTGCCTGCAATAAGACTTCTGCTGGCATAGCTACATCTGTTGGGGGGTGGGGGGGGTTCTTTTTTGTTTTGTTTTGTTCCCATGACCCCATCTGGCACTGTTACGACCTAAGTGGGAGACCCGTGAGCTGCTTTGCTTGTGTACAGTACTGTTAAGGAGGCTTTGAGGCAGGGTTGTGCTTCTCCTTGGAATTTTCTCAATACAAGCTGCATCTCTTCCTGCTAATGCCCAGTCCTTCTTCTAAACACTGATATCGGCATCTTCTCTGCATAACGATTAATCCTTCCCAATAATTAAGCTATTGATTGTAGGGACACCCTAGGGTGGTACCTACCACTCTCTGCCCATCATTTAAGAATGAGCATTTAAAAAAGCAAAACCAGATTTGTTCAAGTGGTGAAAGCATATGAAATGTGCATCACTGTAGCTGTTATTGAGACTTGAGCAAAAAGCAAGCCTTAAAATCAGTATTTCAGAGATCACAGTACTGTTTTCTGGAACATCTTAAGCCAAACTGAACTGGCCTTGGGAAACAAGTTAAAGACCAATCATAGTTAAAACCATAGTTAGGTATCATTGGTCACTTTCCTTCAGCTGTTAAAACAGGAAATGTATGCTTTTAAGTTTTGACTGCCTCTTAATTTTGTATCTCTCTACATCTGGTTCTTCACTATTTTCGAATGTCAAGTTGCAGTATTTTAGGAAGAAGGATTAGAAACAAGGCTCGTGAACCCCCCTTCCCCCCCATATTTATTTTTTTTTATTGCTTGGAGAAAATATTTTTAAGTAAAACTTCTGCCTAATAATGTAACTAGCATTAGTCTTTTAGCTTTGTACTGTGTTGATCTTGGTGATGTGTTTTGTGAAGTTGTTTCATTTTGGAGGTGGCACTATTAACATAATCATCGGTCTGTGTAATACTTATAAGCAGTAAGACTAATCTAAAGTATAGATAATATGAAACACCATTCTTGCCCACAGCATTAACGCTAACATAATATGTCCAGTTTAAGTGTTTGTAACCATTCTGCCATCATAGCATCTGTCAGTTCTTTCTCTTTGGGCAAATGTTTCTGTGGGTATCCAGGTATCTTAACAGTAGTTAGAGCCTGTTGGGCCTGTGGGGTTTGAAAATCTGATGCTTTGCATTTGGTCGATGGTACAGGCTTCTTGGCACTACTGTAACCTAAGTAATAGGAAGGCCCAAATTCATGAAGACATTTGGGTGCTTAGCTCCTGTTGATTTTACTGACTTGTGCAAAGTTCAGGACATCACAGGAAACTACTAAAGAAATAAGATGCTTGGTGACGAGAACTTGTTAATACTGTTTAGCAGTGAGTGAAAATGTTTAATCTGTAAATACCTAAAATGCTATTAAGAGGACTTACGGAAGCACAATCAGTGTTGAACAGGACATATTTAAAAAGGGATTTACCAGAGTAGGGAAAAGTGAATCATCTGGTATGCAATAAAGAAGTGAGAAGCTTTTAATGCCACTTCTATTTAAATTTATATATTCATCATATAGATGGGTAATACTTGCACCTGCATTCCAATACAATTCATCATATGTATGAAAGATAGTTTAG